TTGACATTACATTTGAATAGTTGGAGATTATAGCTCTCAGGGAAACAGTAATTGGGAAGGGTATTCCACTGGCGAGAGGTGCGAGGTATGAAGCTATTGGAGTAGAAGAGACGGCTGCATTTAAAAGTTTCTACAGTGTAAGGGTGGGAGCGGGATGCTAGCCTCGTAGGGCGCTTGAATTCATGGAGTCTGGGAACCAGTGAAAGCAGCTCATCGGAGCAATTACCATGAAAGTATTTGTTAAAAAGACAGAGAGAGGCGACGGCGCGTCTGTGAGAGAGCGACTGTAGACGAGATGCCAGATCAGGGCCAATTACATTACATATCCGTCTCTGGATCTAGTCAAGAACTCAGAGGTAGACAGAAGGTGCCCCAGACCATATATGGCAGCAATACTCCATGCAAGGGCGAATGGTTGTTTTGTATATTTGAAATATCGATTTCGGGTAGAAAAATTTCCTGGCGCGGCACAGAGAGCCAACTTTCCTCGCGGTGGAAGAAGCAATTGACTCAATGTATTCGTTCCATCTCAGATCAGCAGTCAACGTGAGACCGAGCAGACGCAGGGAGTTGCTCTCAAGAAGTTGACTATCAGACATTCTAATGGGGGACAGGGAAGGATCTCTATGGTGGTTAATGGAGAGTAGTTTAGTTTTTGAAGCGTTAAAGTTGACCAGCCAATTCTTGCCCCAGTTAACAACCGTTTGGAGGTCCATTTCAAGACGCATGGCCAGGTTAGATTTATAAGAGATATTCGAAAAGTTACTGAAGATGAGAAATCACACTGATTCACAGTGTGCCTTCAAATCTAAACAGTTCCCATGATGATGATACTAATAACATTGTCGTCCCCTGATTTTGATAATGGTCAGAAGTAAAAACGTTTTTTTCACGTAAGGTTGTTCATTATTTACACTCGTTGAACCCCAGACCTTGGTCTTCTACGTAAAGTTGAAATGTCAAGAAACTGAAAAGAAAAATCATTCTCCCCGCTTTTTAACCAATCATTTTCATTAATAACTTTAGATCCTTTTAGAACATCGGCAATCATGAATTGACAAACGTTTCTTTATTATCTGCGGATTGCCATTGATTCTTGGATAAAAAAAAAATATTGACCTGGTTTCCCGTTGCCTTCTCTACGGTTTCACTTTTCTTGGACAAGAATAGAGAGCTCAGCCGACCCTACGATTTAAACTCTAACCGGAGATGGGGAGAAGAGACGAACTCATGATGAACTCTTACCCAAGAGAATTTGCGCGAAAGTGAACGTAACCGAACTCGGCTCTCCTATTCCCCATTTTTGCGCCGATACTAGCACAATACAAATGTGTAACATTAATGAAGAACAGTTAATCAGATGCATTTTAATATAAATAGGTGTACACACACACACACACACACACACACACACACACACACACACACACACACACACACACACACACACACATACATATATTTCGTCCAACGGGATAGATTTTTTTTCCTCAAGGACACATGGTACAGTGGATAAAAGAGATGGTTGGATACACTAATTCACCCAATACCTGGCTACTGCGGTGTGAACAAAAAACTTGGAGAGTTGAGTTAAAGGGAGATAACCGAGATACCCGGAAGAGGCATGGTATGTGTAACTAGAAGAGTCTACCTCGGTGGACGAAATAAAGGGTTCAGTTCAAAATTCCAATCAACTGAAGAAGGTCGGAGAGAATAACGGCCGAAACGTCGTGAATATGGCAATAAAGATGAGGACAACAGCTCGAACAATGTAAAATATATATATATATATATATATATATATATATATATATATTGGATAATATATGTTTCTGAATATGTGCCTATTGACGTAAAATATATATATATATATATACACACACACATATATATATTTCTATATTGGTTAATATATGTTTCTGAATATATATATATATATGTATATATATATATATATGTCTATTGACGTATATATATGTATATGTGTGTGTGTTTATGTGTAAATCTTTCTCTCTATATATATCTATTAAGTGTGCGCATATATTCTGATCGTCTGTGAATTGATATGTTTGATTTTGGGAAAATAGTTGAGCGGTTTCGAATTCAGCACCGCTCATAGAGTGGCAACTACTTAATGTTAGAGAGCCAAGCTTCCTCTGATATTTAAGTCAAACGGTTACGCCACGGACATAAAAATTACACAACAGAAAACTGATTTCTTCTTTTTTTTCTGACATGTGTTTTGAACAAAGGCATATATAACGCAGCTGAGGTTTGAATATCTTTCTTCTTCTTCTTCTTCTTCTTCTTCTTCTTCTTCTTCTTCTTCATTTCTGTTTTTTCAAGACTCTTGCTCAAGTCTCTTTAAATTCTCTCTTGATGAGATTGTCCAGCGTTTATTGTCATAGAGAGGGTCGATAATACATAATTGTTCCGCTTTCTTTTCTTTGTTTCTGACGGAATTTTACTTTTTCTTAATACCTTGCTTAGATTTTTGAAGGTATCTTGTAATTCCAATGCGCCTTTGAATTTCAGTGTGACATTTTCCGTATTTTATTAAAATACCAGCAGTGTAACCCATCTTCGACAGGGTGTTTCATTACTGGAAACTTTAGCCGTTCAATTGGAGCAGTTAAAGTTTAAAGTCAGCTCACCAGAAAATCAATATTAGTAACAACAATTGGGTGCAACTGAGACACATCACCAGATGGAGGGGGGTTAGCAATTTGAAGAGGGACTGAAAAGGGTTGTTTTTTTGCGTTCTCAGTCTTACAAGGAAGGGACATCTTGGACCCTTACGGCGGAAGGAACCTCTTGGACCGTTACGCCGGAAGTAGAGAATTGGAGTGGGGAGAATGTTTCTTCAGGTTGTAGATGCATTTTCTATTTTTCTATGCTATTTCAATGAGAAGGCGATACGGTTGAAGGTGGCCTGTGGAAGGAGAGATAGAGGCATTAATTGTATAAAGAAGACGAATTTTAAATCAAGCAGCCTTGCAGCAACCCGTGTAGAGTTCACAAATCCTGCAGCACCTCGCTGTAGACGACGTTGCGTGTTTTCGCTCAGGGAGCGTGTATGATCAAGTTTGTGCTGCTACCAACTCTAGAGCAGCCGACGTAGTGTTGACCGTGGGAAAAACATGGTTCTCCCAGATGAAGGCCTGCAGTGGATAGAGTCTGTCTTTGTGATTCGTTAATGGACATCGCGAAGAACACACACAGGGGGAATTGAAACCTTCCCATGGAATACAGAATGTCCATATTTGAAGGAGTCAGCGGGAGTCTTGGTATAAATACATCCTCACCTTTAGCGCATCTTGTTAGTATTGTTGCGGTGATAAGATTTGCGTAATGTGTAAAAAAATCATTTTTTTTTCGAATTTTCACCTTCAAGTTTGTATTTTTTCCCAGACAGTTTGGACTCAAAACCGGCACTAAAGAATTGTCTGTCAGACAAAAAGAAAATCATCGAAATCGAATGAAAACTGTGGAAACGCATAAACAACATTCTAGCACACACACACACACACACACACACACACACACACACACACACACACACACACACAAGCACGCACACGCGCTCATTTTGAAAATTATAGATATAGATATATTCAAATATTTACATCTTTGTACTCCTATATTTTGTACATTATTTACATTATTCTGACTATTGTCTTCATCGTTGTCGCCATATTTATTACAACGTTTCGGCCGTTGTACGCTCCGGCCTTCTTCAGGTGGTTAGAATGTCGAACTTAACCCTTTATTTCGCTCACTGGGATAGATGTCAGTTATCAGTTATGTCCTGTTAATTTCCCTCCGGAGAAATTAACAGGACATAACTGATAACTGACATTTATTAAACATGGCACATGGAACTAGAACAGTCTACCCCAGTGAGCGAAATAAAGGGTTAAATTCGACATTCCAACCACCTGAAGAAGGCCAGAGCGTACAACGGCCGAAACGTTGTAATAAATATAGCAACAAAGATGAGGACAATAGTCCGAATAATGTAAATAATGGACATAATACCTCATCTCAGAAATATAGACAGATCGTTTATTTTAGCATCTCACATTCTTAGTCCGCATTTTAGACTGTTCCTCTTGCTTGTAACCATGTATTGGGTCTTCTTACAATTGATGTTTATTCCATTCTTCTTGCTTTTTTATTACTACCAGCTGCAGGAGTCCATGCAGTTTTCCTTCTCTGTCTTCTACCAACATCGTGTCAACAGCATATCTTATGATGTCCGCCAATGACTTAGAAGTGAATATTTTCTGGTGCCAGTGATGATTATTTTTGCAGTATCGTATGTGAAATAACCGGTCTCTGATTCCAGTCTTAGACGGTGATAGGGTGGAGTTCACATGACTTTGTTCTTCGATCTCGACCAAAGGCAGTCAATTAAAGCGGCGTCCGATTCACCCACCGGGTTACATTCAATCGAACAACGGTCGGAAGGAGATTAGCAGATCGATTAAATTTAGTTGTAAAGCGAAAACAAACAGAACAAGAGAAACGAATGAAAGCATCGAGGACAGTAGGAACACTATTTAAAGAAAGCAGTGGGTCAAAGGTTAATATCGTCGGGGAGACCAATCTGTTAAATTTAATAAGGACCCTGGCGAAATTTATTCCTGATTTAGTTTAGGTCTTTCTTCATCTACCTTCCTGTCACCTTCCTCCCCAAATAGCTCCTACGAACTTCAATAACTTTCCATTCCTCGTTTTGACTTTCTATACTTGAACAGTCCTTCTTCTTCTAACATTTCTCGTCACCTCCTTCTCTTTCTGCCGTTGTATTGTGGGTAATTCCTTGATTGAATTTTAAGCGATCCTTAATGTTCTATTACAAGGCAATGATGGGGAAGCGAGCGCCTGAGACAACGTTTTGCTATTGAAGTGAATGGTTTAACCCCCAAGAGAACTAAGCAGAGCTGTAGTCTCGATTTTGATGAGGGTCTGGAAGAATTGGAAAAGATTGGAGAGTTTTAAGAAATATTAAAACAAAGAAAAGAGTAAAGAGAAAGAGAAAGACGAAGTATAGAAAGAAACAGAAAAGAGAAATAGATGAAAAGAAAGAAAACATTGGGAAGTAAGAGTTTGGAGATGGTCCGATTAAATAAATAAGAGAAGAAATAAATAAATAAATAAATAAAGAAAGAAAGAAAGAAAGAAAGAAAGAAAGCAAGCGCTTGAAAGAGTTTAAATTAGATTGCGTTAGAAATAAAGGAGTAATGAGATGTATAGAGAGACAGACTGAATAGAAATAAAAAGAGAAAGAAAATGAATATTGAAATGAGAGAACATTTCAAACGTCTGTGAAGAATATCAGCTTAGAAGAAGGGGAGAGACAAGAATAGAAAGAAAAAAAGAAAGAAAGAAAGAGGGAGGTGCCAAAACAAGATAAAATTAGAAAGAATGAAAAACGAAAACGTGAAAGAAAAAAACGAAAGTAAAAAGAAAAACGAAGACAGGATAAAATTAGAAAGAAAAATTAAAACAGAAAGGCTGAAACAAGACAAAGAAATAAGATGAAAAATAAAAGCTAAAATAAAACAAAATTAGAAAGAATGAAAAACGAAAACAAGAAAAAAAAAAGAAAGAAAAACGGGGACAGGACAAAATTAGAAAGAAAAAAAATAAAGATAGATGAATTAAAACAAGAGAAAGAAAGAAAATAATAAATAAAGAAAGAAAAACAGAAAGGAAAAAACAAGACGAAATAAGAAAGAAAAAAAGAAAAGGAAAGCTAAAGCAAGATAAGAAAAACGAAAGAAAGAAAGAATCTAAAGAAAAAAAACGAAGGAAAGCGAGAAAATACGAAAGAAAGTAAAGAAAAAAACGAGAAAAATAAAGAAACGGAAACGACAAATTAGAAAGAAAGAAACAAAAAAAGACAACAGTTAAATGGAAAAAAAATAATACTCCAAGTAAAACTAAAATAATTAAAAAAAGCTAAAAATAAAAGGGATTTAAAAAAAAAAGAACGGATAAAGAAAAGGAAAGGAGAAGAAGACAATGAAGAAAGAAATGGAAGGAAAATGAAGAGTAAGCTAAGAAGAAATTTAAAAAAAAATAATGAAAGGAAGAGTAAAAACAGATATTTATCGATTAGAAGGAGGGAGGAGAAATAAAGGGGAAAGGGAAGAGGAGAAAATCTACAAGAGAAATCTACGTGATTAAACTAAGACGGGTCATGAGAAGAGGATATATGAAATGGTAGTGGGAGGAAAAGAAGAAGGAAGACTATAAGAAATCAAAGAAAGAGAAGGGTGTGTATCTGCGTAGTTATATGGCGAAGGGTGACGAAATAAAGATAGGAACGTGCGAGTAAAGTTAGATAACGGGGCAGAATAAAGGAAGGCATAAAGTGGGAGGGGTAGTCAGTATAGGGGGAGATTATTAAATTCCTTACTGTCGAAACAATAATATTAATGGGAACTCACGTACCTCCAAACAAACACACACACACACACACACACACACACACACACATATATATATATATATATATATATATATATATATATATAGAGCATACTCACATAGATATATTAATATGCATGCGCACAGCCATGCAGGCGCGAATCCACACCACACTCACATACACAGACTCATACATGCACAGAAACAGACACACATATACACACAGCATACTCAAAAACGCTTACATATATAAACATGCAGTAATATTTACGCAGAGACACGCTGTCGCGTATATTCATTACACACACACAACACACACACACACACACACACACACACACACACACACACATATATATATATATATATATATATATATATATATATATATATATATATATATACAGGGTGATTGCAAAGTAAGTACCTTTTTTATGTATGATGGACTCTCCCGTCTAACTATAAAGTTGACAAGACGGGAGAGTCCATCATGCGTAAAATAGGGAGTTACTTTTCAATTACCTTGTATATATGCACAAACATGCAAATATACTTACACACACATGCAGATATGCAATCGGAGGAAAAAAAAACACATACATATAAAAACGTACTCACATACACAGAAACATGCGCAGACACATACCCGCCATCGTACATACACGTATATAACACATACAAACATATAAAGAGGAAGTTCATACACCGGCACCCGTACAATCACCGAAGTTAAGCAACGTCAAGCCTGGTCAGTATCTAAATGGGTGACCGATTCGGAATATATCAGGTGCTGTAAGCTTGGATGACCGGATAGTGTAATGGATAATGGCACGGAATTGTTAATCGGAGAGCCGAGTTCCAATTCCGTCTTCGTTCTTTATATTTACTTAGGCGCAAATACCCTTGAGATAGGTATGGATTTACCTCTTCTTCCCTAGCCACGGGTTAATTACTAAGACTGGTATCACTAAACCATTATTACCTCCCCCAAAAGATTCTTGCAAACTAAAAATATTTTCTGGCTTTAAATAGTGATTTTCCAAGCGTAGCTTAGATGTGTCACAAGGCCGAAATTAGGGGGCACCCAGTGAGGATCGAACTCACTAATCAGTGGTAATTGTTCTAGCGAGCCAAGCTTGCTAACCATTACACCGCCTCGAGGTGCCCCTGGCTTTAAATAACCTGAGCCGCAGAATCAACCAACGCATAAACTCGCAGAAATATATACACGCGTACATATATACATGGCCCATTCGCCAGGAAAGTTTCAAAATGATATTATGCTCATAGGGTACATCCTTACGGGTTTTTACTTCGGGATGAGTCTGGTGTTATCCGGGATTTGAGGCCTCCACAAATGGGGAAGTGCCGAGGAGGTTTTAGCTATTTTTCTACGGCATAGATTCACTTTAAACCCTAACCTTGTGTCACATTCGGTAAAGACGTGGACATTTCCCCCATCGTGCATTCATACATACATAAAATATTTTTTACTAAATTAATGCAAGTTCGTTGACAAACATTCATACCTTATATTATCGATTTCAATCCTCGGAAATGTTGCTTTTATACGTTTCTGAGTACACACTGTAGTTTACGTAAAGACCTTTTCCCTTCCATAACAATATTAGATGTTGCAGTGTAGTCGTCATTTATTACCGGGGGGGGGAGAAAAGGGGGAACAAGGGATTGAATTACCCACGTCATTGGCAGTGGTGATTTTCTAAGCGTACCTTAGATGTAGCACAAGACAGAAAATTTTGGGCACCCAGTGAGGATCGAACTCACTTATCAATCGTAATTGACCTGGTGAGACAAGCTTGGTAACCATTCTATGATTTTCTAAGCGTAGCTTAGATGTGACACAAGGCCGAATGTGCAGATCACCCAGTGATGATCGAACTTACTACTTTGTCGTAATTGATTTAGCAAGAGAAGCTTGTTAACCATTGCACCACGTCGAAGTGCCCAAATGACCTAGTAAGCATAGCTTTGATGTGGAACAAGATCGGAAATAGGAAGTGCCCTGTGAGGATCGAACTCACTAAGTCGTAATTAATCTAGCAAGAGAAGCTTGCTAACTATTACATCACGTAGACGCGCCAAATACACTATTGAGAGTGGCACAATAGGTTTCATAAAATATCTTTACAGCAGGAGATAAAAAGAAAACTTACTATGAAGAATTACGATACTGATATTAATCTACAATACATATTGACATATAAACTTCCTTGTACTGAATCTCATGAAAATGATAGTGTGCAGAAAAAACTGAATAATTTGAAAAAAATAAGATAAGCGACAAGGCCTGTCGCTACATAAAGAGACTGGATTAGACTGAAATAGATAGATAGATAGATAGATAGATAGATAGATAGATAGATAGATAGATAGATAGATAGATAGATAGATAATGTCCAGAAAAAAAGAGTGAACAACTTGGGAAGAATTAAAATTAAAATCAAAATAAAGGAAAATTAAATAGCCAGGTTAAATAAACCAGGTTTATATATAGATAGGTTTAAACTGAAATAGATAGATAGATAGATAGATAATGTGGACTGAATAAGATAGATAGATAGATAGATAGATAGATAGATAAATAGATATGTGGACTGAATAAGATATATATATATATATATATATATATATATATATATATAGATAGATAGATAGATAGATAGATAGATGAATGGACTGAATAAGATAGATAGATAGATAGATAGATAGATATGTGGGCTGAATAAGATATATATATATATATATATATAGATAGATAGATATGTGGACTGAATATATATATATATATATATATATATATATATATATATATAGATAGATAGATAGATAGATAGATAGATAGATATATGGACTGGATGAATAATATATATATATATATATATATATATATATATAGATAGATAGATAGATAGATAGATAGATAGATAAAGGAAAGAACATAATTATTAAAGTACCTTCCTAAAGACAACTTCCTATTCTTTGTAACTCGTAGTAATGTCTATCTTTACACTTTCCCCCCTCACAATTCCTATTCTGCCATGCGTTGACACAACATTAATAAGTAGGTTATCCGCTGTTTATCTATAACCAACTTGCCTTCAATAAGTTTTGTGACTGTCAAATTTCGTCTTTTCCTCTTTCCTCGTTATGTGTCCTAGAAATTTCTGTTTCTTTCTGATTCTAAGTATATTATCATTAAAAAAATTCTCGTTACACAAATCTTCAGTCCATAGTATCCTCACCATCCTCCTGTAGAACCATGTCTCTGTTTCCTCAAGTCTGGTCTTCATCTGTGAGGAGATTGTCCAACATTCATTGTCATATAGAAGGACAGGTATTAGATAACAGTCTTAGAGATCTGAATTATTTACCCCTGTTTTTAACTTACTAATACCGTTAATTGTAGGACAGAACACACAGTGATTAGCAAAAGGGATGTCCGAATATCTGCATTACATACCGGGGAAGTCAAAATTAAATAAGTGCCAAAATTCGGTAACCGGACAAAATCTTAAGTGGAGAAAATCCCAGCCTTTTATTTCCCAAATGGAAGTTTCAGACATAAATTTAACATTGAAAATTCAAGGAAATTTTGATTCGAATTATAATGTCGGATTGATATTTCCTTTACATAGAAGTATATATAATGGATATTATTATTATTGTCTCAAATAATAATAATATCTATTATATATACTTCTATGTACAAGAAATATCAATTTCTGTCACGTACTTTCCGAGTTTATGGGTCCGCCTCGTTTGCAACAGAAATTCATGCTAAATCAATTCAAACTCTAAAATACTTTTTCTGACAATGTCACAGTCACATATTGAGTATATTTCATAGTTAGGGAGAACTCGTAATTCAAAAGATACAACTATTTGAAGAAAGCCATAAAAGGGGGCTTTTCTAAGGTTTCCGGAAAAACATAAACAAATAACGTAGATCGTATACGAAGATAGATTATGCCGAATGAAGGGATTAAATAAAGTTTTTATAGGTTCGCATATATTGGATAATATTATTAATGTCTGAATTTGACATTAAAATTTGAATTAAAATTCTTTGGATTTTCAATGTTAAAATTGTTTCTTTTTATATACGAGATTGTATTTATGAGGCGGGGATCTTTTGAGAAATTTTGAGATAAGAGGCTGGGATTTTGTCTTCTGGATTTTTATCCACTGCATCTTTGTCCGCTTTTTTTTTAGGTGGAGTTTGGAAATTCAATTATCCGAGGAATTTAAAAACAAAACACACGAAGAATAACAGAAATTCAAAGGTGCAGTGTTATTTTTCACAAACTGCTTATATTACAAACTAGCAGCATGGCCCGGTGTTGTCCGTGCTTGATTCAAAAATCGTACGACTCATACAGCAATCGCTATCACTTGACTTAAAATATTTTTGCCCTTCCTTGCCTTCAAAGGAGTGACCTTTGCCGTGCTGATGTTGCTACATGCCTTACTTCTTGCCTATCTCACACTGCGAATTTTTTCTAAGCTCTGTACTAAACATTAAATCTGTTACGAAAAAAAGAACTAAACAAAATTAACACAAAACGATCAGCTTTAAAAAATGAATCGTAACTGGAAAAACCGAATGAAAAAAGAATGTTAACAACAAATACTTTTTCACAACCAACCCAGTTCTGCGGAATCAGAATCAACATTGAGTTTAAGCAAGCGAATGAGCCAATTGGAGTAAAGTGCCATGCAGATTTAAATTTTTCCCACTTATGACGAATGCAGCTATTGATTTTTTTTGCATGCTAGCATGCTAGTTAATATTCGTGTCAGTCAGCTGTTGCCCCTAGCGAGTGAGCTGCTTGATTCTGCTTAGCAACTTAGAATGAAGTAGCCACTCTTATTTTTCTCTAGGTTGGACAGGTTCTACGAACATATTTTAATTTTTATTTTGAATGTTTTGTTGTACAGGGTGTTTTCACAATTGTTGAAACAAAGCAGCGGCCTCTCAGACGAGGAGAGCTCGAGGATCGTGAGGACCTTGATGAGGAGGAACGCTGGTTCTTGCAGGATGATGCTCCTCCTCACACTGCTAATGTTACCATGGCATGGCTACGTGAAAAGTGTGGGGAACGTCTCATCAGACACAAAGCTGAAGTGTAATGGGAACCTCACTCGCCTGACCTGAACCCCCAATTTTTTTCCTCTGGGAGTTCCTGAAGGTCAATATCTACCAGGGTAACCATCGCAACAGTGTTGCATTGAAGGCAACCATCACTGAGAAGATTCAAGTGATCACCCATGAGGAATGTGCACGCGTTATCAACAACTTTGCATTCAAAAGTGCCTTCAACTGAACGGTAGATATCTGTAGCATGTACTCTCTAGAGCTTCTCTTAACATTTTTGGTTCATGTTTAAGATTATGTGGTTACATATCCTAAAATATTATCCTTTTACCTTTCAGTAAATGTAACTTTCATTACTCTATCATTTGTAGTAATTGATTTGTGCCCGATCATTTTGTTTCAAAAATTTCGAAACACCTTGTATTTCATTTTCGTTATTGGCTACATTCCCTATATCACATATTTTATATATATATATATATATATATATATATATATATATATATATATATATATATATATATATATATATATATATATATATATATATATATAAAGAAGCCAAACATAACAACAGTTGTATATATTTTCATGTCATGGGTGTTTTAGTAGAATCCCTGTAAATATGCAGTATTATGCTATGTATTGTATGGTGCTACGGTGGAGTAATGGATAGCAACTCGGATTGAGGAATCGGAGAGCCGAGTTCAAATTCCAGTCGAATCCATTATATTCATTTCTTCCCCAGTAAATAGTAGGACTGACCAGGTTCTATAGCCTATACCGCAAAAAGAAATGGCGGGAAAAAAGAATCGAAAGATATGCGCATGGCACATAACGGAACAGATGGGATGGCGATGAATGAATCCTTGTGACATATGAGTCAATTGTAATGAATTAACTGATTAACTAGGTGTAGGATTGTCAGTGACGACCAGCTTTTCCCCACCCTTGTGGAACATGAAATTGTAATACTAGAAAGAAAGAAAAAATAAATTTTGTCAGAAATAAAGCCGTGTCTTTAAGCGACTGTGACGTAGTTCTTATGTTGCTTGACCGGTGATGTTGCTACATGACTAGGCACACATTAAATAGATTACTCTTTGTCCCCGTGTCACAGTTGAAATTCCTGGGGCGCGTAATGAGGAAGGAGGGCTTGGAGAATCTGATACTCACAGAACAGATTGTGAGGAAGAGAGACAGAGGAAAGCAGCGCGTAACTACTTGGTGAGCTTCAAGAAATGGATGGTAGATCAGCGTTTGGAAGAATTAACAAAAAGACAAAACTTATTAAGAGCTACAAGGGACAGGAAAATGTGGAGGGCTATGATCGTTTACATCCTGAAGGGACACGGCACATAAAAGAAGAAAAAGTTGCCCACGTTGGTGTGTCATGTCGTCAATATTTTCTGTGAGCGTTAAATACTTCAGGCCAATATGTAGGCAGAATTTTAGGCTCTTTCTAATTATAACCACAAGTTTTCTGTAATTCCTATTCCCCCCTCCCCCAAAAAAAACCAACAAAAAAAAAAAAAAAAAAAACACCTCGTTGTTCACATATGTTTTCCATGGGATTCTCAGCATTCGTCTTTAGAATCATATCAGCGCCGCTTCAAGTCTCTTACGATTCCTCTGCGCCTCCGGATTTCTACGTCACGCTTTTCCGTCCTCAGTTAATACACTATCCAGATTAGTTAAATTGGCTTACCTGTTTGATGTTGACGCCCCTAATCCGTAATCCCACCTATGAGATTGTTTCTTTTACTGAAAAACCATTCTTATTATTTTTAGTCCTTTCATTTTACTCTCTACTGTTTTGTCGGCTTACGGCCATATCACGTTGAAACACCGTTCTCATCCGACCACTAAAGTTAATCAACGTTGAACCTGATCACTACCTAGACGAGTGACCGCTAGGGAATACCACGTGCTGTAAACTAGAACATGCGTGTAGTGTAATAAATAACGATTTAGAATGAAAAATCGGAGAGCCGAGTTCGAATTCCAATAAGGTTCGTTATATTCATTTACGTGCAAATACCCTTGGGAAGGGTATAAATCTACCTCTTCTCCTCCAAGCTATGGGTTAAATAGTAAGACTTGTATCAAAAATCATTATTAGCTCCAAAAAATTGTATGATTCAAAAATATGTTTCGGCTATAAATAACCTTAAAAGGGTTGATAAGCCATGATAAACAAATCAATCAGTCAGCTAATCAAAGTTCTTTCGTTTTTTCTTTCTCTCTCTTTGCCATCCGCTCAGTGTCATCTGCATATCTTATTAAGATTTTGTCCAACAGTAATAAATCTCGTTGAAATTCCATAATTCTTTCGTAATTATAGTAGTAATTCTGTAGTTGATCTATAATAATTATAGTATTCATCCTAGTAATTCCTTTACGTTCACGCTGAACAGGTTAATAAATTTGATAAGAAAAGACATCATTGTCTTATTCCTCTTTCTATTTTTGTTTCTGTATGCAGGCTATTTGTTCCCCGTTGATGTTACGGACAATTTGAATATCCTTTCCGTGTAAATCAGTCTTTATGTAGGTTATTGTATCCTTAAATAGTTTACAAACAGACAAAGGTGGTACTTGAGTGAAGGAACAGCAACACGCGCGTGGATGAAAGAAGAGACGTTTATTGTAACAGAGAATACACTACAAAAAGACAGAGGCTGTTCTGGTCAACAGTCGCATCATATCGGCGTTTTTGCAGTGCCGTATCGGGCATGGAGAGTTGTCCCTGCAAATTCGCCAGGTGAACAACCCTGAGGTCACATTATGTTGTAGTCTTACCCATGTTCCGGACAGTTTCTATTGCCATAGACATTGAACAGTAATAATTATTTTGCCCTTTTTTATATTAAAATTTCCTAAGACTTCAACGACTAAAAATGATGATAGCGTTAAATCAATTTGGAATGAAATCACCGAAAGCTATTTCCCTTATATTCGATGTATTCTTACCAATTTCCGTAGTTTAGAATTTTTTTTTTCTCTTGAAATGTTCTCTAGATATCTTAGCCCTCTGAAAAACAAACTTGCATTCTTCTATTTATGTGTTTTGGTGAAACACGCCTATTCTATAGTTAATAGACTCTCCCACCTAATATAAGTAGGAGTAGTAAGAGAAACGACGGTTGGTCGAGGTTAGTCGATGTCGGACGACAGCCGAATACGAAAGTTAGTGACCACAACAAGATTACTCTGCGTAATACCAAGTTCCTAACGTTTTGTACGTCGAACTATTTAGAACCGATTTAGTGCAAATACAAGCCTCCACTGAGAAATTACTCCACAACACTATGTCACTGAATTCTCTGTTCCAGAATATCTCCTTCTTTATCGAAATGATTCTAGGGTAAACATGCATTACATTGGAGTTTATATTCGGAAAATCTTCCATTGGCAAGATAGTCGTTTTTTGAATCTCCAAATGATTATTTCGAGTGCTTTTATTTCTCATTATTACATTCTGTTAGTTCTCTGTTTTCCTTTTATCACTTTCCTTCGATTCAGGACTAGCGTGTTAAGACAAAGTATCTGACGGTATACAAATGGCTCTCTCTCTCTGCAGTCAGCTGCGTGCATCTTTGTGTTTGTCGATTTTAATGCTCATCACGTCAAGTGTCTTCATAATATTGCTGATGTTACTGGTATTCAGACTTTTAATTTTTCGGTTGATGATTCTCTGTCTCAAATAGTTAACTCCCCTAATCATTTCCATTATAACTCTGACCAACATGACCCTTACTGAATATTTTCTTTTGACGAGCTTTACAACTCTGTTCTCTTGGAAATTCGGATCACGATCTAGTGTCTGCCGATGTTTCCTTTGACTCGTCTATTAGACACGAGCCCACTATTCAAAAGACTTCTTTCTGCCAGCAACGTACTGATTAGGATTAATTTTGCGATTCTTTTTCACGATGCCTCTTGTAGGGAAATCTTTACACTTCCTACTGAAAACTGTGCCTCCGACGTTTCTCCTGGAGTGAAAGCCGGCATCGACGCTTTCGTGCCTTCTCGGAAATAACTGATAAAACCACAATTAGCTGCATAATCAGCCGCTATAGCCCACAGGAATCATTTTTTTCCGGCTATACAAACGTGATAACTCTGATCAGAACAGATTCTTTTGAAAATATGGAAGAGAGTGGATCCAAAAATAGATCATTTATACAATGGAACACTTATTACAAGCGGACACAAGACACAAGTCAAAAGAATAGAACTGTAATCCGCTCGTAATAAGTGCAAACTTCTCCACAACGAGGCTAAGTCGCTGTTAACTGATAGAGTGAGACACAGCTCAAAAGTTTGGCGCTCAAGACTTCTGGTGGCTCTGTAAGAGTATGTCGAATAATTGTCAGTCCTCAATCTCTCCTAGCTGCGATCAATTTGAAGTGCTGTCACATGTTGTCTATAGAGCAGAATGCTTTGCCTTTAAATGTTCTTGACATTCTACTCTCAATATATCAGGACTCGCTTTGCCTTAATTTCCATTTCGAGCTCTCTACTGCGTGATATACACATTACTCTGTCCATGGTTTACGCAATCATTTCCAAACTTGATTCCCGCAATGTATGTGGACACGATGGTATTCCTGAGATAGTCTTTAAAAATGTTCCCCTGAACTGGCACCTGTTTTCTCCAAGCTCGATTATATATACTGCTTCTTGCTTTCCGAATTGTTGCAAATCCTCTTCTATAGTTTCTGTTTAAAGAACTCTGTAAAATCGTCTGATACTTCAAAGGATACTTCCGTCACTTTTTGGTAAAGTGTTAGAGACTCTAATAATCTTCGAATTGGTTAAGTATCTCACCTTGCAGTGTTTTTCTTTATCAGACAAACAATATAGCTTTCGCTTTTCTAGGACAACCGCCGACGTGTTGGTGTTTATTGCTGAAACAATCTGTCAGGAATGCCAAAGCTTGACCTGTTGCTTTAGATATTTAGAAGACGCTTGACAGGGTTTGGCATGCTGGTTATCGTCACAAGTTGAAGGTTTTGGTATTTCCGGCTGTTTCTTTGATTTAAATCAATCTTTTTTTTTTTATCAATCTGCATAATGAAAGTTGTCTTGAACGGTCACTCCTCTAGATCATTTTGCATTAATGCAGTTGTCCACCAGGTCACTATTCTTGGGCCAACTCTGTTCCATATTTTTATCAAAAAACTTCATCAGTTTCCACCTCGGTATCTATGCGGGTGACACGAATTTACTCCTATCTTAATAGAAAGTCTGATAAGTTCGATAAAATTAAATTGGCAGATGATCTTAGAAATGACATACGAATAAAATCAGTTGTTAACTAGGGCAAGAAGTGTCTTGCTAATTTTAACACCATTAAGCTGGAAACTGCTTTCTACAAATCATCTTAAATGACCTTTTTTCGTCTTCCATCAGCATGACTGATGTTAACCCCAAGAGAGCAACTCACTGCGTCTTCTTGGTCTCACGTTTTCCACTAAATATAAAACAGAAAGATTAGATTGAATCAACTGCTAAATCAGTCCGACGCTAGGAAAGTATGTTGTGCTTGACGATTTTTCGCGTTAGAATCCATCTTGAACATTTAAGTCTACTATTCGTCCGTGTATCTAATATTACTGCCACACCTGTTTGATGATTCTTGTATGTGCCAGAAGAGTCTTGGCAAAACCCAAATAATAATCGGCAACGTTATCGGTCCTGACCTGGCATCTCGGCTTCAGTCACTTTCCCATCGCCGTAACGTAGTTTCCCTTTGCCTCTTCTATAAATATTTTCACTGTAATTATTTTGGTGAGCTTTCCTCTTGTGCATCGATATTTCAGGAATTTAGACGTAGTAGATTAGCATCTAGTTCTTGTAATTTCCCTGTTGAAAATGCTATTTGTAACCATAAATTATCTGCTTATGGCTTCTTCTTTCACAGTTCCGGCTTGGAAATTTCACTTCCGACTTTCCACTTTCGTGTCAAACATCTTCAACAATTTTAAATCAATATCATTCGATATCTTCTGTGTCTTTGAATCATCTTCCTATATCGCCTTCTCTGTTCCTTTCACTTTCAACTTACATAATAGTAACTTTTATAGCTTTGCCTTAAATGATTCAAATGTCCTTTTGCATTTGTCTTGTGAGCTACAGTAACATTTTAATAATGAAATACCATTTTTTTTTAAAATCGCGCATCAGAGAATTTCTATTGAATCCATCAACAACTTGAAGTAAATTCTTTTTTTTCAGATTACAACCCCTTTTTAACACAGCCAATCTTTTCATTGTTATATCTTTATATTACCGTATCTGATGTCATCAGTTCATTTATGTGTCATGTTTAGGCAATCATGTATCTTTCGGTCCATGAATGATGAATCAGATTTTTTTCCCGCACTAGGTTGCCATTTCTCTCTGCGATAGACCAGTTGCCATCCAAGCCTATAGAACCCGGTCTGTCTTGTAATTTACCTATAGCTGGGAAGGGGAGAAGAAGAAGAGGATTCATACATTTCTCAAAGGTATAACCACGTAAGTGAATGTAATGGATCTCTCTGGATTTCGAACTCGGGTCTCCGATTCCTCAATCCGAGCCGCTATCCATTACACCACTGAAAAATATAGACAAGCTAGGAAAGGAAAGAAGGAATAAAAGATAATTAACTGCAAGAAGACAGAATAATCAATTTTCAGCTGAAGAGACAGCCAATGAAGATCTGAAGAGACAGACGCGTAGATGATAACCTTTTGATGAGCAGACCAAGAAAGGAAGCAGAAAGAGCAACTTAAAGAAAAGTAATAAACTAAAATAAGAAGATAAGATCTAATATCCATGGTCGCCAGCAAAAGAGGTCCCCCAAGGTTAGAGCTACGTTTTGAGGACGTCAAAATTGATCTCCCTAGTGTTTTAAATGCGACACAATGTGACACGTAAATCTGAAAGGGCACGTGGATAGCGAAAGATATCTTCCTGGAAAAGAAAACCTGACATAAGAGGATATTGTTAGAATATAATGTAAAAAGAAGCTGAAATGCTATGTAATAAATAAGACCTTTATTTGACAATAAATGCAGGATCTCCTCACAGATGAAAAGAGATCGGAAGCAACAGATGTGGTTCTACAGATGAAGGACAAAAATATCAAGGACAGAACATTGGAGTATTTCTGAAAAGCATAATGAGAAAAGAGGGCTTAGAGAAATCAACATTCAAAAGGCAACAGAAGCGGAGAGAAAGAACGACTAACCTAATTAACTGGTTCGTGCAAATAAAAGAACGTCATACAGGGATTTATCTCTTGACTGGATTTATTCAACTTTTGCAATAAAGCAGAGAAGATGTCCTAACATGATTTATTACAAGTAAGCACAATTTTAACATCATAAAATACGCAAATGATAGATTTTTAATAATTCCTCACCTAGCAAGGCAATAAAACCGCTAAGACATAAGGCAGCTTACTGAGTGTGAGAGAATACGAGAAAAACAAAACATTATTAAGGAGGTTAGAACAATGAAAGAAGATATATTATGAACACAGAAGATAACAAATGACACTGCATTTAAATAAATTTAAGAGTAGACAGAGAAATAAAACTACAGGAACTTCCAGGCAAGGTAGTAAAGAAAAGCGGGGAAAAAAGGATTAGCCATCAATTGGAAGAAGAAATAATGCATTGTAAGTAAGAGGAACAGTCCCAGATTCGAGTTACAAAATTGGCAATCTCTGAATCATACAAGAAGGTGCTACTATAGTATGATATGTACGGAAGCATTTGCGACCTACCGTAAATGACGATGCACTCATTATTGCTGGAAAATGCTCAGGAAAAACGATGACCTGTTTACTGTTTTTTTTAAAAAATGACATCAAATCAGTTTACATACATTACAATATTTGATGATTTTTTTATATTTTGTATAAACAAAATTGTTAATACTTTTTTTATACATAAACAGTTCAATGTTCACTGTTCTAAGACTTATCCCTAACCCTAACTCCTAAACCTAACTCCTAACCCTAACCCTAACCCTAAAATATTTCATACTTCCAACAGTTGGTATATATTATACCATGGTAGAAAATGAATAGTAGATATCATACTATAGTAGAAACTGAACGGTAGGTATGCTATAGTAAAAAATGGATGGTAGATATCATACTATAGTAGCACGTACAAACGTTTAACTATCTGGGAAGCGTTTTGATTGCTTTACTTGCTTAAGGGCATATCAACTCTTTATAGATTATTTAATGCCAAAATATAATTTTCTTGGGTGCTTTGAAGTAATAAAAATACGATATATGTTATTCTGCTTTCACAATTGAATACATGGTAGATGATACTCAGCTTTTGGGCATATACATGTTTTTTCCGTACATAATTACTAGATGCGGTGATAAGCGTATTTTATGCTGTATTTTTGTTGGAGTTATATTTTGGAATCCAGTTTGATTTCTTTCAGAAATTATAAGATATTATACGGATTAATGCCATGAAAGAATTCTTTCATGTCGATTGGTTGATATTTTTTTGCAGCATATCAACCTGTTGGGGTTATTTAATGCCGAAATCTAAATATTTTGAACACAATTTTATGGCTTCAGCTAAATATATTTTGAACGCAAATGTATACCTTCAACTCCAGATAAAATGTATTGTTGTTCATTTTACTATAAATAAGAACTGTTATTAAATTTTTTATATAAAAATGTATAGCTGGTATTTTTACTATAAAAATGTATTTTTATACTTTCATAGTGTTCTTCTTTTGGTAGGGATGACTATTTGCCCATAGCTGGGACCCTAACAGGTGCTACCACCCGGGTTGACATTGGAACAACAGCAATTAAGTGGTGGTACGAAGCTCCTCAAAAGCTCCAGTCTCCGTCAAAAACTCTCTAAATATTTTGAACGCAAATGTTTGCCTTTAACTACAGATAAAATGTATTGTTGGCCATTTTGCAATAAAATGTATTATTGGTAATTTTGCTTTAAAATTGTATTGTTGGTCATTTTAAAATAAAATGTATTGTTGTTAATTTAACTGTAAATATGTATTGCTCGTCATTTTGATTTAAAAATGTATTGATGCTTTTACTATAAATAGGTTTGGTTGGTATTTTTTATTTTAAAATATATTGCTGATATGTTTTTATATAAAAATGTATTTTTATGCTTTCATAGTTTTTTTTTTGGGTGTTCACTACTTACCGTTCTCTAGTTACCCATAGCTGAGACCTTAATAGGTGCTACCAACCCTGAAAATTTTGAAATTCACAGCACATTGAAAGCAATAGGACAGAGAGGATATTGAATAACCGACGGACCGAGCTTGTGTAAATGGATGCCAGAACAGTGAGTGGGAGGGATAGTAAAAAGATAAGTATGTCTAACAACTGCAAAAATGGGAAATTGTGGAGAGCCATGATCGCCCCCGCCCTGAACAAAACAAAGCACAGAAGATGATAACTTCAGCTGCGTTATGTATTTTTTTTTCAAAACATGCATATGTCAGGTGTGTACAAATGTTTCCAAGAGGTAAATTGATTCCAGAAGAAATGTAAACAAATTACACCAGTTATGGGCAAACTGTAGCTCGTTTGGCTTTCTGAATAGCCACACCTGATTTCCCGAAAAAAAAAAACGTTTATTAAAATTCTTCATTCCTTCTCACTTGTTCACCCACACTTTCTCGCACATAAACACATACATAAAGTATGATTAAATAAAATATGTCTTGAATGTTGTAACTTTTCGTTGAATATAACATTTACATCATTTTAAACCACTGGCGATTTTCGCTAAGGAAGACCATACATTTAAACATCTTTTGCTTTAGAAGTAGGACGTTCATAACATTTTTCTCTGTTGAACAAATATATTTCTTATTTTAAAAATGATTTCTTGCATTTTCGAATGAATGAATAAGAAACAAATCAAACGGAGCAGTGTGTTAAACATTATTAATTGTGATATCATAAGATTTCATTTTTTAATTATTGAGACATTTTTCTCCAAAAAACAATCAGCCTTCGAATTCAGTTCTAAAGCAGATGATAACACATATGTTCTTCTGTAGTAAACATGTTTGAGACACCTTCAACGAAAAATTCCCTTAAATATTTTACTAGTACAGCCGGCCTTATGATGAGCCATATGTGATGTGGCCCACTGTTTGGAAAAAGGTTACCCACGTCTAACTTAGAACAATAAATGACAGGATGCTGTGGAGACCTATAATAATCAAATTACTAAAGGAACTTGGCAAAAAAACTATAGTATTAAGCAGTTAAATTAAATAAAATTATTTGCACTCTTCTCTGTTCCCATAAACATTGGCTTATCAGATAATATAAATGTTTATATCACACTCGGCAGATAGATGTGGGTCATTTAGTTGATGAAAAATAAAGGAATGGGGAGGCATCTAATATGCAATGAAATATGATACCTCTATTGATTACATAGTGTTCCTTAATGTTCTAACTAAATATTTAACTTAATTCTTGTAAGGTCTCATTGTTTATATGAAATTATGTATTGGTTTAATGATTACACTTGTGTTTTTTTTCCCTTCCTTTTGACGGGCAAATTGATAATTGCCCCCCAGGAAAATTGTCCGTCGCTTCAGTTGGCTTTAGATTTTGTGACTTAATTTCTCTCCCTCATCCGGCCATTTCCTCTTATTCAGACTGCCCCGCCCTAATGTTTTTCCTCGGTGCGCTTCTTTGATCTTTGAAATCAAATTGAAATCTTTTGCCACTCTCCCTTCTCATTTCCTTCCGTTTTTCACCTGCCGTTTCCTCTCGGGAGACGAAAACTTTTCAACTTTCTTTCAATTTCATTGTTCATTTCTCGTTTTTTCTTTCTTTCTTTCTTTTGCGCTTCGCCATTCGCGCCTCTCTCGTGTTCATTCGGTTAAATTCATTCAATCATTTATTCATTCATTTTTTTTCTTCATTTATTCTTTCTATGCATCTATCTTTCTTCTCTCGTGATGTTTTCTTTTATTTCTGCCTTTCTTTACATTGTCCCGTTATTTTTTTCTTTCGTTTTTCGTATTTTTTTTTCTTTTTTTTTCTTTTGTGCTTTGACTTTGATATATTCTTGGTTATTCAACTTTTCTTTTTTTACTTTTTCGCTGCGATGTTTTTCGTTCTTACCTACACGTCATTCTTGTTTTCCTTTCTTTCTATGTCTTTTCATTTTTTTTAATAAACATTCCCTTTGCTACTAATTATTTTCTTAACCTCTTATAACCTTCAATTTCTTCCTTGCATACTTTATTTATTTCTGTTACTTTAAAAGTTTAGCGTTTCTTTTCTTGGATATTTTTCATACTAATCTTTCATGTCACTCGTCATATCATCTCTTCATTAACTTCTTTCTTTCTTTCTTTTTTTAAAAATGTTCATTTTATTTCACATGCCTTTCTTTCTTTCTTTCTTTCTTTCTTTCTTTCTTTCTTTCTTTCTTTCTTTCAGAAATGTTTCCTTCCTTCCTTCCTTCCTTCCTTCCTTCCTTCTTTTCTATTGTTTTTTCTTTCTTTCTTTCTTTCTTTCTTTCTTTCTTTCAAGTCATAAGTTTAATCTTTCTTTTCTTTCACATTTTCCTTTGTAACTTTCATTCCGATCAGCTTTTTCTTATTTTATATTTTCATTAATTTCTTTTTTCAAATCTTTCTTTCGCTCTTTGTTTGTTTGTTTGTTTGTTTCTTTCTTTCTTTCTTTAAAAACCTTCATTTCATTTTTCATTTCTTCTTTTGTTCTTTCTTCAGATATTTCTTCCAGTCTTTCTTTCTTCCTTCCTTTCATTCTTTCTTTGTATTAATTCATAAGTTTAATCTTCTTTTTCCGTCATAGTTTTCTTCATAATTTTCATTCTAATCAGCTCTTTCTTGTCGTTTGTCATTTTCTTTCTTTCTTTCTTTCTTTCTTTCTTTCTTTCTTTCTTTCTTTCTTTCAGATATGTTTCTTTTATTCTTTCTCCCTCCTCCCCCTTTCTTTGTTATCCACCTCAAACATCTATTCCTTTTCCCTTTGCACTCTTCTTCCCTTCTTCACTTCCCCGTCCGCCATTTTTCCTTTCCTTTCCATCCGTTGCCTTTCTTTTTAATCTGACTGATAAGAAAGCCGCCAACTTCTGCGAGATACGCTATTCAAGATAATGACTTGTTTACTTTTGCCGCTGCCCGCATTCTCATCACACCCAGGAGTCTAATTGAGCATTTTTCAAATAGTACAAATGAAACATTCAAATATGGCCGAAAGACTTTCAATAGAGGCATTACCTTTGGCATTCTTGACGCGGCTTTAGAAGCTAATGGCCGACAGGTCCAAGATGCCGGCTTCGCAGACGATAATTGCAGCCTCAAAAGTAAATTTCTATCTTGTGATCCTTGTTGAAATCGAAGCTTTTCAAAAGTCACTGATATTTAATCCCTGTGATGTGAATTAAATACAGACTGTATTGAACGCCGTCGTTTTCTTTAGGTTAGCTGTCACATTGTGAAAGGCAGATGAACATTAAATTTATTTCTCGTTGCATTTCATTTATTCTCGTTGATACAAAGCTTAGGTCCAGTAAGAGTACAACAAAACTGATATGTCGCAAGCAAAGAAACTACTGTTTATATTCGATTCTCAAATTTGTTCAACATAGTGGCCAAATGCTAACGCAGTTGAGTTATAACTGAAAGTATTTTAATATATGTATTCTATATACTATATATTGAAAATGTTAAATTAAAAAAAATAATATATTATATGAATTTACATAATTATTAAATTCTTTAATATAATATGCAAAATAATCTAATTGTTATGTTATATGATTTAATAAATTATATTTATTGTACATTATATTTAATATATATAGCATTACTTTCGGAAATAATTTTTATATACTTATATAAACACATGCACACTGACACTTATATGAGTTGAGATCTAATATAGATTAAGTATGGATCGGAATCTGACAGAAGGATAAGATAAAGAACAGTCAGGAAAGGTTCATAAATCTAACGTTTTACTTTTAATCTGATGAAGCTATAATAAAAGTGAAACATGTTAGATTGATAAACGTTTCCTATTTATTCTTAATCATATCACACATACATATATATGAGCACACACATACATATATATGAGCACACACACACACACACACACACATATATATATATATATATATATATATAGCTTTGTTCTTTTTCACTGATAATTTTGTTTATTTTTTACTACATGCATTTTCTCTGCAAATATGATTAATGATTGATGAAGGACGACGATTGACAAGATATTGTAATTAAGCAATTTAATGATGGGAAAGTTTTTTTTTCTTTTCCAAATGCGGCCAGCACGTTGAAAATTATAATAATATCCTTGATAATGTCTAATAGATTAACCGAGATACACACACACACACACACACACACACACACATATATATATATATATATATATATATATATATATATATATATATGTAATAAGTTTAGTTATAAGTACAGCAACAATGTTTAAAATTTTTTAAATACTTAAATTGTAATTTTAAAAAAATACAATGTCTATAATTAATGACAACCTTTTTAAAATACTTTAATTGATTTATATTTTAAGTATACTTTACTTATGTAAATATTGGCTGAATCTGAAGAAAGAAACAAACAAAGAAATAAAGAAGCAAAGAAACAAAATAAGTTTGTCTGGGAATAGAGAACAATTAGAAAATATGGAAATAAATAAATAAAGTAAGAAAGAAATCAAGGAAAAAAATGAAGAAAGACATTGTGACTAAAAAGAAAGAAGAAAATAAAACAAAAAATGAAAGGGAAAAAATCAAACAGAATGCAAGGGAAAGATAAAGTTTTTCTGCTAATTGAGAAAGAAAGAAAGAAGGAAAGAAAGAAAGAAAGAATAAGAATATCTGAACGAAAAGAAAGAAAGAAAACATGGATTAAGTGACTAAAGCTAAAAAAGAAATTAAAGAACGAAAAAAGAAAGAAAAAGAGAGAAAGCAACAACAAGTAAAAAGGTGAAATTGTGAAGTGAATAAAGAGTAAGAAATGGGAAAAAATGTGAAGAAAAAACAAATGAAAAAATAAAGACGAAGAAAATATAAGTGAGTAAGCAAAGAAAGAAAGAAAGTAAGAAAGAAAGAAAGAAAGAAAGAAGGAAAAATCTTGACTAGAAAGAAAACAAAGAGAAAAAATTAAACTGAAAGAAAGAAAAATAAAAGCAACTCTGGGAATTGAAAGAAGGAAATATATATATATATATATATATATATATATATATAGAGAGAGAGAGAGAGAGAGAGAGAAAGAGAGAGGAATAATTATAATAATAATAATGGTATCAGAAAAATAGCATTCCTCAAATAAACAAATGGAGTGAATGCTGGGAACGCCGGTTCGTTTCTTTATGAGTCAATCATCTCTCTAATAGAAAACGCCAGCTCAAGAGACGATCGCCAACTATTGTTAACAAAAAAAAAAATAACCAAAAACCAAAGGAAAAAAGGTTTGAAAAGATCACGCACCAATTTCCTTTGACTCATCGATATTTAGTGCTAAACTTTAAGTCCATGTTGATTCTAGTTACTAGGCTTCGTACTGTACGGCAAAAATCCAGAAGATTGGTCACCAAGTTAAGAGAAAACTCACGCTGTCTCGTCTCTTAAAATTCCGTCTCGATAATAAATTATCTACAAGGCGGTTGTTTATAAAATCATGCTGTGACATGCTCAAGAGTATGGTGTGCCATTTGAGAAACAAGATACAAATGGTTTCAGGAGTCTGGCATTTTAACAACTGCTCTATTTCAGATTCTATGATATTTAATTTCGAATATTTTAACACGAGTATCGAGGGAGATTATAAGAGTCAACCATTAGTCCATGCATTAAATATTGCTGTCATGGTGCTTCTACTATGTATTTAGAGATTCTACATAAAATACAAAGAAGAATCTACAATGTTATAGATCCTGACCTGGCATCTCGGCATCAGTCACTTTCTCACCGACCAAATGTAGTTTCCCTATGCCTTTTCTATATATATATTTCATGGTAATTGTTCTAATGAGCTTTCCTCTTTGATAGCTAGATTTTATGAAATTTAACGCCGTATTAGGTGGGCGACAAGGTCTTATCTTTTTACAGTTGAAATGGCTAGATAACAGTTACTTCCCTCGCACTTCTTGCTTGTGGAACCCTTTTCCGGTCTCTTGTTTTCCAGTTCACTTTGAATTTCAAAATAACTTCTTAATTCCCGTTCTTTTATTGTTCTCTTTCATTACTGTTACTAATGTTCTACTCTCGCACTTAATAACCCCTTGCGTTTTAGTGGCTTTATTGCTTTGCTTAGAGTAAACTGATTAAAAAAATACGCCCGGCAAGATTCATGATCTGCGATGATAACTT